ACTGTTCAATGAAAACAATTACATCTTCAAATTTCTTTAGTTGAATTTTTTAACCTACCCTGAGTTTTATGGCTTAAACACTTTAAAGGTTTTCAGTAATATAAAAAGACATCTCATTAATCCCTTCAAAATAGAATGGTCTTGAAAGGTATTTCAGGAACAATCAGAATTAGGAGTTTATGCTAAAAATAAGAGGAAAGGGTAAACTCTCACTATAAATAGCAAAATAAACTTCTATAAATAATACTTTTGAACATTCTTAATGATGTTACTGTACAACATTATATATAAAGTGATCTGTAAACTTCCAGGTATAGACTGATTTGGCAAAGACATATAACACTGCAAGAAAGATAAGGTGTGAAAAACAGCAGAATGCAGGTTAAAAATAGACAAGTAAACCATGCATTGGAAATAAACAGTAGACTGACCAACTGTGATTCATCTCTGAGGCTTTTCCTCTAGGCAAGTCTGCTGTTTCACTCAAGTCAATATTTTAAATTGGAGGAGAAAAGGAAATTTGTTGGACTTAGATTTTTATTTTTGTTAAGAAATGTAAGAAACTGGTGTTTGAAAATAAATCTTATTTGATGGAAGCTCCATGGAAATTGGAGTTTTATGAATTATAAACATTTTCCCCTAGCATCCTACCTTTTAAGCCTTAAACATTCAAGTCTTTCAATGATATTAAAAGATATTTCATTGATGTCTTCAAAGTAGAATAAGAAATAAACTTTCTCTTTTTTTAAATTTTATTTATTTATTTTTAGAGAGAGGGGAAGTGAAGGAGAAAGAGAGGGAGAGAAACATCAATGTGTGGTTGCCTCCCAAGCATCGCCCACTGGGGACGTGGCCTGCAACCCAGGCATGTACCCTGACTGGGAATCGAACCAGCAACCCTTTGGTTCGCAAGCCTGTGCTCAATCCACTGAGCTACATCAGCCAGGGCAAGAAATAAACTTTCAATAAATAAAAATTCTACATAGCAATTTGAATTATGAAGGATAAAAACAGAAAAATGGTACTCTGTAGAATTTGAAGAGAAATACCAAAACGCAAATAAATACTTATATATGCTTCATTCCTAAGGATCATTTCCTTAAAATCTCTAAGAATTAGTCAGCATTCAATAGAAGATATAGCATGAAAGAGGAACATGGTAAAGGAAAAATAAGGACTTTCATATCAGACAAAAATAGATTCAAATTATAATTTTCATACAAGATGAATGGTTTTAGGCAAGTTACTTAAGATTTTATATCTAAAATGGGGGTAATGAAACCTGCTTTGTGAGATTTCAATGAGTTGACATATATAAAGTATCCAGTTCAGTATCCACAGTTAAAGATTTTTGCTTATTTTCTTTCCCTCTCTCCCCTTTTAAGTGACATAAAATAAAAATTGCAATAAAACCCTATCATACTGGTGTCCATACAAGTTCTCTCCAAAATGTAATAAACTTTTAATGCCAAAAATTTATCGCTTTAAAAAAATTAAGCCAGTTGCATCAAAATAACCATATTTAACTGACAGAATTATACCATATTATATAGCAAAAGAATAAACTAAGGTTATAGTCAATACTTGATCGCAGTGGTCATTTTAAACACTCCCATATTAAAGCAAATCTATACTGACAAATCAAAATATTAAGAACTTTTGGTGAAGAGCATGGCTATGGAACTTTAAGTACTTAAGTTCTAAGTTCTTCAAAAGCAAACAAATATAAAAAGTAGACAAAACATATTCTTAACCTTATATGAAGAGAGCATAAAGATAGATTAATTCTGTTTTAGAACTTAAAATAAAACATGCCCTGGCTGGTGTGGCTCAGTGCACTGAGCATTGGCTTGTGAACCAAAGGGTTGCTGATTTGATTCCCAGTCAGGGCACGTGCCTGGGTTGCAGGCCAGGTCCCCATTATGGGGTACATGAGAGGCAACCACACACTGATGTTTCTTTCCCTCTCTTTCTCCCTCCCTCCCCCTCTGTCTAAAATAAATAAATACAATCTTAAAAAAAGGAAAAAAATTAACTAAATTCATCTAGAGAAGAGTAAGGAACTTAAATAATGATTCTACAAGTTGTTAACTAGTTAGTTTTATTAGCGTTTATCCTTTGAGTTTACATAAAGGGAATTAAATTGTATATATGCCTTTTATATAGCTGTCATGAACAAAGTCAATGAATTATAGAATATTAGTGCTTAGAAGAGGACTTCAGATTCTGTAGATCTTATATCCTTATTCTAAAACAATAAAAACAAAACAGAGGTTAAGTTCAAGGTTATACAGGGCTTGATGCAGAGATGAAAATCAACTCCCTGCTCTTTATATTACTGAAATATATCCCTGCAGGATGTATTTCAGCAGGGATTCACAGTAATGGTCATGGGGAACACTGCTTTTTTGGCTTTTCTAACATTGATGAATGTGTTTTGTTTACTGTGTAGTTTGTAGGACACAATGAAACAGGACGGCATGTGGAATGTTGTCTTGTTCATTTGCTGCTACCTAAAAACATTTTTTCCATTGAAAGGATTACAAATGTAAGTTAAACACAAACATACTAACAATTGCTAATGAAAGTCTGAGCTATGTGTCAGGAAAACAAACAGCCTAAACATCTCACTTGGCAGTTATAGATAAAATCATATTACATTTAAATTGATCTTGAGATCCTCTGAAATGTACATTGGCAAAAGAGCAGTTAAGATAATTATACAACTCATGGCAAGAGGAGGAAACCAAGTCAAGCTCCCAAATACAGAAGTAGCACTTATCATTTGCCTTTGATCTGTTCTATGACCTCTAAAACATTAAGAATCTATGAGAAGGGGAAGTTAATATGATTCAAAAATCTCCTGAATAACAAGCATTTCACAGAAAAATTTCTTCAAAGAGGAGTTTTCACATACCTTTAACTTACAACCAATTCATACATTCTAGAATTCATGTGTAAGTAAAAACACTAAATTGATGCTGCTAAAGTCCCACACTTTCAGTTCTTACCCTAATTAATCTGAAAGCAGCATTTAACCCTACTGACCACTTCCTTTTCCCCCTAAAACTCTTTGCTCACATCTTAAATGTCCCTTTGCACACATACACACATAGGAATTATGTGAGGTGATGAATGTTTTAACTAACCTTATTGTGGTAATCATTTTGCAAATCAAATGTGTATCAAACTATTACATTGAACACCTTAAACTTACACAATGTTATCTGTGAATTTTATCTAAATAAAATTGAAAAACTAAATAAACATTGAACTCTTAATAAAAAGACAATAAATGAACAAAGAAACAAGCAAAAACCTCTTTACTGCCTTTGCTTCCTTGAAAACGCTCTCAACTGATTCTCTCCTACCTCTCTAGCTATGTCTTGTTATTTTTTTTCTGTACCTGAACTTCTAATCATCCCTCAGTTGTTGGTATCCAGAGAGCTCATTCCTCACCTCAGCTCTCTTAATTCACTCAAAAATATTTATTGAGCACCCACTATAGGAACTCGTCTGAATAACCGAGATATCACTGAACAAAGCAGATGAAAATCCCTAATGTGTTCAAGCATACATAACATAAAGAATAGTCAGACAAAAACATTAAAAATAATACATAAGTAAGGTATGTAGTGTGCTAAAAGGATTTAAGTGTTGTGGAAAATAAATAATATAGAGTAAGAAGAATTTATAATTCTCCTTAGACCACCAAATTGATATAACTGTGACTTTAACAATTACCTATATTTTAACTATTCCCAAATTTCTATCAACCATATATCTACTATGAGCAGCAATACTCGAAAGACTTTCTCGCTTTAATATTCTCCAGCCATCACAATTTATAATGCCTGACACTCAACTCAATACTTGTCTTCCACCATAACCTGTTTCTCTTATCTTAATAATGGCACTACCATCCACTGGTTCAGCCAAGTCAGATGCCTTTTATTTAATATCTGCTTTTCACTTAGTCTCTAGATCTTACTTGTCAACAAGTCTTATTTATCTACATAAATATCTCCAATTTTCTTCCATCCTCACTGCTGCTTCTCTAATTAATTAAAAATCTCAATAAATAGCAGTGGAGAGGATCAGTTCTGTAGTCAGATGTCTGGACTGAATTCTGGCTCTACCACTTACTTGTCGTTTGGTTTTGAACTTAACCTCTGTAAGTGCTAGTTTTCCTACCCTTAAAAAAAGACAACCCTTCTATGGTTATTTTATTGAGTGTGGCTGGAGGTATTAACATCAGAATCTCCAACAGTAGCAGCAGCATGATTCGTTTATAAAATACTCTCTTAAGTGGTTTTCCTTTTTCTAGCCTTACTCTTCTCTAATCTTTCCCAGCACTGTAGACCAAGTAATATTCAAAATTCACAGATCTGAACATGATGACCCTAAATAGTTCTCCATTGCCTTCAGTATTAAGTCCAAATTCCTTAGCATGACAAAGAATTTTTTCTTTTTTCTCTATCTTCATCTTTCCTTTTAAAAACTGAAACTATTAAAAGCATCATTATTATACAAAAGTTAGCTTGGAGCTGAACTTTTCTGTGAAAGATCTTCTGAATATAAAGTTCAGCTTTCTTTTTTCAATTTATGAAAAGTCTCAGTTAAAGATTTTTAAGTTATCATAAGGTTGTCTTTTTCCCAACAAGTACATATTTCATTTTTATGGTCAAAATGTTAAGTGGCATCTGATTTAATGTTTCATTGTGATATGATATAACACAAAATAAGCATTTTGAGAACCTTTGCAGCAATAGAAGCCCAACAAATGATTTAAATTATTTCTTCAGGTTTTTGTCACATTTCATCTTCCTATGAAACAAACATAAAATACCACTGACTGACTTCATGGATTGCTATGTGTGTTTGCATGTATTTTTGTGTGTCTCTACCTGTCCAATCCTTTTACAAGAGAACATGAAATAATGTTACATTCAAAGTGCTATCCAAGAAGAATTACTTATGAAACATTGGCAAGATTTTACCTGTCCAACCAGGCAAGAAGACTCTTAGCTGCTCCAATCAGATCCACAACTGAAGTCAGAAAATCATTTGGCAATTTTCGACTGGTTCTCCCATCATAATGGCCACTCCTTCTCCTCCCTGTTATAAAATTTTGTAGGTTTTTGGCAGATGCATTCAACTTGTGAGAAAGGGTTTTTAGATTTTCTGTTTCCAAGCCATAATTCTGAATTGTAAAAAAGAGAGAACAACATACTTAAAGTCAATATTTCATTCATTCATTAAAATATTTACTAAGTACTTTAGTATATATAGGAAATGGAACTAGTCTTAAAAGTCACAAATGAATTAAGGTGGGATTCCTGGTCTACCATAACACACAGTCAAATGAGGATTTGGGGAAATGTCAGATAAATTACAATATAATGTGTTAAGTACTAATATGAACATGGAAAGATGAGGGCATTATGTCTTGAAACTATATCACCCAAGACAGAAAGATTATAGGGATTCATAAGTGTTTTTAAGCCCAAACCTAAGTTCATTTACTTGTGAAATTCATTATTTTCAACAATTATTTTTAAGTATCTATTAGCATTTGCATACTCATGACTGCAGGTACTAGGAAAAATTCTGCTTCCTCCAAGTGAACAAAGTAAACACAACCCAACAATAAAAACAAGCAAGAGATAGACTGTAATAAACCTTTTTCCATGCCCTCTCTATAATGACTCACAGAGTTTCTTCTATAACATGGTACCAGGAAATATTCTGCTTCCACAGGCACACCAATATACTTTCTCCTTTGTATAATACAAATTATGAAATTAAACTTATTTTTATTTTATCCTGGTTGCATTAGTTCACAGTCAAATGCGAAACACATCTAAGGTAACCACAGTGACTTTTTGGTATGTGTATTTGTTTTCTTTTTCCCTTGGTCTTGCTTTTAAATTTCTAATAATGTTTATTATTTTACCCAAAATATTTTGTCTACCAATTGTTTCAGAAAGGGGTTATAAGAATAAATGCAAATAAGCTTCTCTACCATATTCATTAGCAAAATATTTTAGGATTCCTTCAAGCAAACTTTAGGGAAAGATTTTGTAAGTTACAATTAAATTTTAAAACAGCTAATTATGAGTTGTAAAACACCTCTAAATAAAGGCTGATTAACCCGATCAAAGGATGACCTTGGTCAAACTATTTAGCAATATATACATTACTGTCCTGTATAAAATTAAAAGTATTATCACTTCACAGAAAATTATAAGACCCAAGGAATATTAAATAGCCTCTCAGGCCCAAAACAAATGCTAAGTTTGGTTTACTCTACTTTTATAGTTGATGACAGTGAGGCACAGGAGATTTTTTCATTTGCTTAAAAAGCTCAGAGCTTAGAGCCCAGTTCAGAATGGGACAAATCATCAGGCTGCCTGGTGACAACAAAGAAAGCAAAATGGAAGATAAAATACTGAGGGAGAGAAAAGGGAGGCAAATGACACATGAATTTAGCTATATTATTAAGTCAACAACCACTTGGTATCTAGTTTACATATAATTTAGGTTAATGTTTTTCCATAGTAATTTAAGAAAAAAGAGCACTGGGAGGAGATAAAAGAAAGAACTAGAGAGGGTTTAGATGCCTAAATGTTAAATACCCCATTATGTTAATTAAGTATGCTACCACTAAAGATTTAATAGTGATAAAATTCTAATTGTTCTTGTTGAGAATTTATATTTTTTATTAAAAGAACACTCTTTTTATACTTACCTGGCAGGGGAGATACCATGATTACGAAAGAACACTCTTTTTTGGAGCCATGGATTTGTTTTTTAAATTATACTATATTAAATTTTCACTGCTTAATTTAAATTGCAATATTCTTCCCTCAAGTTAAAATGTCAGGCTTACACAAATAAAACAACATTCTACTCAAATTCTATTGCATCTGAGCATGGATTATCTGTGAAACCTTTGAGAAATTTTATTTTCTGCAGTTTGTCACTATATTAAGAAGGAAATCCTTTTATAAATTTATAAAGATTCTAATGACTAGACAGAACAATTTGTAGTTATACCAAGTAGGTGTAAATATGACCTCTGTCTAGAAAAAGTCCAGCCATTGTTAATATAACGAGAATTGTTTGCCTGACATTGATATAACCTGGCAGCCAAGGAGAGTGGACTGGAATGCGTATGCATGAACAATGACAACTTCACTGTACTAGTCAGTGCGGGCGGTAGGCATCATTGAGTGACCATGTGACTAGACAGAACAATTTGTAGTTTTATCAATGAAGTGTAGTATATCTGAAGTCCTTAAAAATATTTTGAGAAGTTTTTTCTTGTGTTAAAGCATTTTCCCTGAAGTATAACAGTGTCTGCACTTTTCATTTTTGTGTATTAATGAATTTAATGAGGAAATGTTTATTTATAATCAAATTATAATAATTTCTTAGAGAAGCTCAAATTATAATAGTTTATTAGAGAGGAGTCTAATCAATCAACCAGGTAATGGTTTCACTTTGTAGCCACAGCCTCCATAAAAGATTAATTTTTTGATAGATTATATCTATCTATCTATGTAAGCATCTCAAATATTTTATTAGAATATATAAAATAATTTTAAAACAATAATATAAGTCTTCTTATAAATAAAAATCTAAAGGCAAAGTAGAAAATACTTTGAAGCCTTTTAAATTTAAAATAGTACTAAAATTATTTTTAATATAACTCAAGAATTAGGAAATAGAAAAATCTTCTGGACAAAACCTGGACGGGTACCTTGAGAAGGCCTCCAAACTTTGGAACCTACTGGAAAAAAATATCCTATGTGGAGTAGAGGTAGAAAATGAAGAAGACAGGAATATGGAGGCAAGAAGAGACAGAAGATATATAGTAGAAAATGGAGAGGGAAATTAATAAAACTCACCCTAGTTAACAAATTTAAGTAAATTAATAATTCAAAAGCATTTTTTAAATTCAAGAACAGTTATAAAAGTAGGTTAGAAGCTAATCTGCATATAAAGGCTTTTCTGTGGTGCTATTTTAAGAAAAGGGATGAATTAAGTGATCTCTTGAGTTAATTTTATCATCACAATTCTCAATTGTAAGTAGCTCAAAATAAATTACTGTCAACACAAGTAGCTTCTTGTTATTTCTTTCATGAAAGGTGATAGTTTGTTGTGACTCACTAAGTCACCAGTAAATCACACTCCCTTGCCTACCATGTAAAGAAGCGTTAAGTAAATGAAGCAGCCCTTAGTTTTTTGGCCAGAGGTATGTACTACCTGAACTCTGTAAAAATGTAGGTTTATTCATTACAGGCTGCCTTTTCACTGGACATCCATGGGAAAACTAGGCATTACTGTTCTTACAGAAAGGACTACATCAAGAAAACAAAAGCTTGAACATACAATGTACTCAGCTATTTTCTTTGTGTTGTGTTATCTATTTGTTCAAATACTTGGCCAATAATATGTCTGCCAGGAATCAGTTTTAACTCTAGACTAATTCAACATAGCCTGTCTAATCTTAAGGAAATGGTGCTAAGTTCATACTGTTCTTCTCTTTCAATTATATGCATGCAAAAACAAACAAAAGAAAGAAATAAAGGAACACACTTAATATTTTAGAAAACTGAGGTGGCTATATCTTCACTAGTGGCAAATTCTCATTAAACACATAACTAAAAACCTCAATATTGGTACTACATATTTTACAGTGTCAATGCTATTTTATTAGAGCTCTTCATTTGAACGTAGCATATAGCAGGTGTTTAGGTTTTATAATACACTGCTTTATAAATGAGTAAGTTCTAAAAGGATTGCTCTAAGGAAGCTTTTTAAAGAAACAACTTGGATAAATGAATCAAGCAATTATGGTGCAAAGAAACACATCCTAGCAATTGCAGACATCAAAATTTTCCTGCAAAATGCCTATTATGTGAAAAGTACATGAAGAATAAAATGAAAACAGTTTTTATCTTGTCATAAATGATTCACTAGAGTTCCCAATAAAAAGTGTATTGTCAGAACAGAAATTAAGGGCTATACATTAAACTCTATATATTTTATTTATGCTTTAGTCTTTCAGTTAGTATACTGTGCTCACTTTTTAAGCATATTAAATGATAGCATAACAGCTTGCAAGAGTTACTACACCTCCAAATCATGAACAAGTTAATTCTTTCTAGAATAACATGATACAAACAATATAGTTGGTACTTAATAAATGTATATTTGAATATATGAACAAGTTACTAAATAGACCTTTTGTTTTCATCAGCTGCCATACATTTATTCCCCAGCAGGAATAACTTTAACATACAGCAGATGAAAATATTACAAAACTTAAAATAAAGAAAGGAATTTGGTAATTACTCTGTGTCTTCCTTATACTAAGAACAGAATCTTCAGAGTCAGAGGCTGTGTAAGCAAGAGAAAAAGTAACAGTTCTCTGGAGAAAGGCAGAGAAATTCATGCAATAACATAACATTAATTTAATATACTATATGTGCTAAGCACTGGACAGGAAGTGTACTGGGGGATGAAAAAATCTAAGCAAAGATTTAATATAATGTGGTATGAAGTGTAAGTTACTTTTCTTCCCATCACCTCTTACTCTGCAGTAGCCAAATCAAAAATTCTCATTTCTCTCTGAACACACTATACTCTTCCACAACTGTCTTTACATGTGATATTTCTTCTGCCTAAATAAATTTTCCCCAACTTTTTTGTTTGGTGAACATCTATTCATCCTGAAAGTCCCAATGCAAACCCCACCTATACTTTCTGAATCCTTCAGTAGTGTTCATCATTTCCTTATACACTCCCCTGGGATTGTCTTTAAATCTATATTATCTTTTTTTCTGGTGTTTGAAATTCAAGAATGTTTTATTATTTCTCCAAGTAAACGAAGTGACATTTTACAGCTTCTTTTATTGTTGACACTGTTACATATGTGGGGAGTTGGGAGAACTGGATAAAAGAACATAAAGAGATTAGCCAAAGAACATATACGCCTAGTCCTTGGGCACAGACAATGGTGTGGTGAAGGCCCTGGGAGGAGGGTGGAGATGAGCAAAGGGGGGTGGAATCTATATTATCTTTTAATGACTACTGTCTCCTTTATTAGACTGCATACATCTTGAGAGCACAGACTATGCCTTTTTCATCTTTGTATTCCCTTTGGTAGCACTGTTTGAACATGACTATGTAAAAGTTGAAAGAATAAATAAATACAGTAAATGTAAAGAAAATTACATAGACCAGTAGAGACATTACAGTGTCAAAGAGACAAGACATAGTTCCCCATTCCTAATAGCAGAACTTCTGGTCTAGTCACCTGAGCTTGTTAATGAGGGATATCACCTCCTGATTTTATAATGGAATATAGAAATAAATCGGAATTCACAGCTCAGTAATTTAATTTATATTCACTGGAAAACATCTGTTGCATAAACTGGAAGATATCTACACTTCGAAATTGCTGATGTATAACCACTAGGAAGCAGTGAAAAGGGAGTTTAATATTTGATCTCTCTGGGGAATGTGAGCAATTTATTGCTAAATAAACACAAAAGAATGAATTTAGTATTTTGATTTATTTTTTTTCTGTGTTAACTTCCAGAACAGCTCAACCACATAATGAAGTTTTCCCAGAAAATGATATAACACTACGGTGCTTAAACCACAACTGCAGAAGGATTAAAACTCAGCATGTGAAGGGATTTGCCATAGCTCTATGGCTCAAACATCAAAACGGTCTAGACATATGTCTTTGATGTCATCCTTTTAAGTAAGTGTAGGTTAGCAGAGCTTGCTCATGGGCCAAACTCCAAAGCCTATAGGTCTAGACTCTCTGTAGGTAACATTGCAATCATCAATCTTTCGTTCTTTGAACTGGCAGTCTAGCACTTGAGTGGTTCATCTATGTAGAGCACTGCTTATGAGACATACACCCTGGACTTCAAACTCTGACATACCTAACTATTTTAAAAAAATTTTATTTTAATTGTTGTTCAAGTACAGTTTTCTGTCTTTTGCTCCCATCTCAGTTCACCGCCCCCGACCTCCCCCCTCCTTCCCATTTCCACCCCCCCCCCCCCAGTTTTTGTCCATGTGTCCTTTATACTTGTTCCTGTAAACCCTTCCCCTTTTCCCCTGAAATTCCCTCCCCTTTCCTCTCTGGTCACTGTCAGCCTGTTCTCTATTTCAGTGTCTTTGGTTATATTTTGCTTGTTTGTTTTGTTGTTTAGGTTCCTGTTAAAGGTGAGATCATATGGTCACCTGGCTTATTTTGCTTAGCATAATGCTTTCCAGTTCCATCCATGCTGCCGCAAAGGGTAGAACTGTTGATGCTATAGAAGATGTGGCAAACAGGGGACTGCTAGATTAGTTGCTAATTTCCAGGATGCTTCTGTTGCACCTTCATTGACATTCTGACTCAGTTTTGGAGAGCAGTATGCAAAAACACTGTGGACCTTTAACTTACCCTAAGTACTGGTTTATTTCGGGCATGATTTCTGTGACTTCATTCATATAAGGGATAGAGTGTAAATGTGTGTTATGTATACTCTTATCTCAGGAATTGACTTCTCTTATCTCAGGAACAGGGAAATAAAATGATCCCCAAAACTAGCATGTGAAAAATGTGTTGAGTCTCTTTCATTACCACTTTCAAAAGAAATTTATTTAGCGTCCACTCTTGCTAGGCATTTGTACTACACGCTGGGTGTTCAAAAAAGATAGTCACTTTTCCCACATAGTTTACAGTCTAGTGAAAGGAATAGACATTAAACTGATAAACATACACATAAATATATAATTACAAGATGACATAAGGGTTAAAAAGAGATTAATAATAGGGGGTTAATTTTAGGTCAGACAAGGGTGAGGGAGTGATCAGGAAATATCTCTTTGAGGAAATGACAAAGTAAAACTGAAATATCTGCATAAGAGGTGCTATTCAAACAATATGGCATCAGATTCTACTCTTAGAAACTGCTTTCAGTCAGGTGTTTTTTTTTCTTGTTTATTCTATTAGCTTTTTGTTAAATTTGATGACATTATTGATGTTCCTTAATGAAAACAATATTTCCTATTAGTTTTGTGACAACTCTTTTATAGTTGTCTTCACACTTCTCTGATCACTCTATAAGCATTGTCTGCAGCCTCCTCTTCTTCCTACTCAGCTCGAGTGTCAAGCTTTGTCTTTTTTCTTTATATTCTGCAGGACCTCCTTGGATGATCTCTTCTCTATGGATTCAATCCCTATATCCTTGAGACTCCAAAATCTATAGCTTCAACAACTTTTCAAGTACAAATTCACTGATTTCTCTTGTCTAATTAAGCATTGCTCTTTCAACATACAAAAGTAATCATACAAAGTGCAATACTCATTGGATGTATACATAAATAACATGTAAATAATTTGATTATTTTAGGAGTGATTTTCCTAAAAGAGGATTGTTATTTATGATCCTAAACTGAAAATTTTAGAAGGGAATCGATTTTATACAATTGGATATCCTAAATGCAGCTATGAAAATTCCTTTGGTGACCTCCAACTTAATTTTTTCAAGTAGCTAAATGTAATGTCACCAGCTAAGTTATAAATCTCTTTAATTTGTAATTTAGCACTGTATAATATAGCAAATTCAATGAAGGAGGAAAATATCATACCAAGTTGGTTGAGAATTAGGGGATTTTTTTTCTACTTGTATTTAAATTAGTTTTAAGAAGAGAAGGAAAGAAGGAAACAAAAAGAGAAGAAATAAAAAAATTAAAAGGGAGAAAAAACAAGAAAAAAAATGAAGTTTCCCTTCCTGTCAGTTTTATGTACTTACCAGTGCACACAGAAGGTCAACTGCTTCCAAGATCAGTTCCTGATGGCCAATGCGGCTGACCCCCAGATCTTCCAGCTCCTGATGTGTAATGCGCAGCAGCTGGTCCCCACTGATCTTCTCCCTCTCAAAGTTCTTAATATACTGCTGCAAACAGTCATCAAGACCTACAAAAGAAAAATATGGAAGACCAGAATAAAAACAAGTTGAACCAAACAGATAGAAAAAATAAAATAAGAAAAGCACTGCACACAAGAATAAATTCAAAACAGATCAAAGACTTAAATGTTGCACCCAAAACTTTAAAAATTCTAGAAGAAAACATAGGCAGCAAAATCTTGAATATTGCCTGTAGAAATTTTTTATCAGATATATCTCTCCCAGACAAGGGAAACAAAAGAAAAATAAACAAATGGGACTACATCAAACTAAAAAATTTTTGTACAGCAAAGGAAATCATCAACAGAATAAAAAGACAACCCACATAATGGGAACACATATCTACCAATACATCTGATAAGGGGTTAATATTCAAAATTTATAAAGTACTTACAAAACTCAACACCAAAAACAAACAACCAATTAAAAAATGGGCAAAGGACCTGAATAGACACTTCTCCAAGGAGGACATACAGATGGCCAATAGACATATGAAAAGATGCTCATTGTCACTAATCATTAGAGCAATGTAAATTAAAACACTATGAGACATCGCTCACACCTGTCAGAATGGCTATCATTAAATAAATCAACAAACAAAAAGTGCTGGTGAGGATGTGCAGAAAGGGGAACCCTTTTGCCTTGTTGGTGGGAATGCAGACTGGTGCAGCCATTGTGGAAAGCAATATGGAAATACTTCAAAAAATTAGTAATGGATATGCCTTTTGACTCAGCGATCCCACTTCTGGGAATATGTCCTAAGGAACCCAAAACACTAATTTGAAAGAACATAAGCACCCCTATGTTCATTGAAGTGTTATCTACAATTGCCAAGATATGGAAGCAGCCCAAGTGTCCATCAGTAGATGAGTGGATAAAACAACTATGGGACATTTACACAATGAAATTCTACTTGGCCATTAAAAAAAATGAAAATTTTACACTTTGCAACAGTATGAATGGACCTGGAGAACATTATGCTAAGTGAAATAAGCCAGTCAGAGAAAGATAAATACCATATGATTTCATTCATTTGTGGAATTTAATGAACAAACTGAATAAGCAAAATAGAGACTCATAGGTGGGGAGCAGATGACAGCTAGTGTAGGGGAGGAAGTTAGGGGGTGGAGGGGTTGATCAAAAAGGAGAAAGGACTCATAGACATTGACAACAGTGTGGTAATTGCTAGGGGGAGAGGAGTATAAGGGGACTAATTGGTAATGGGAAAAATACAATAAATATTAAATTTAAAAAAGTAAACATAGCAAGTAAGTCTTGATCCATACTCTAAATGTCACAAATTTACCATGAAGAAAATTGTGCACTTGTGATTTTATTTATCGTGTGCTATATTTTATTTAATTGAAAACATTAAATAAAATATACACTATTTTATCTAAGACCATGTCTTAAAACAGTAGAAAAGGAGGCTTGAAATCATTACTACAATGTATCTCTGACTTTTTCAGTAAATTATATTGCTTTCTACCATCTGCAAGGATGAGGAATGAACCAAAAATCATGGACCTAAAAAGAGGTTCTAAAAATAATGAAACATTTACAAAATGGTGACATTTGAGAGATATTCTAAGGATGCACAAATTTTCAGGATATCAGTAATATTACAGAAGAATGGTGAAATAAAATGAATAAATCCACTATCATGTAGAAGATATGGAGTATGCAAATTATTGTATTTAATGTTCAAAATCTTAAAATCCCTCCCTTATTGGTGTGGCTTATTGGGTTGAGCATTATCTGGCAAACTGAAAAGTCACTGGTTTGATTCCAGGTCAGGGAACACGTCTGAGTTGCAGACCAGGTCCCCAACCAGGTTGGGGGCATGCAGGAAGCAAGGGATCAATGTTTCTCTCACACATTGATGTTTCTCTCCCTCTCCTTTCTTTCTGTCTTCCTACTCTCTAAAATAGAAATGAATAAAATCTTTTAAACAAATCTTAAAAACCTACTTAAAATGGGTGTTAGAGGATGTCTATTGATACTCCAAGAAATTTTACTTTATACATCATTCTGTACATAACACATGTACTCTTATCTAAAAATAGAACACCCTAATATTTACAGAAAAAACATAAAAATGTAAATTCATTCATTAGAGGTCTGTTGCCACTCACTATTTACTGTAAAGAACAAAGATCAGCATATGTGGATTTGTGAGGACTTGTGTCCCTTCTGCAAGATAAGGTTAGGAAATTGAAACAAACATGCATCAATCCAATATCTGTTTGCTTCCTCAAATACATGAATAATTCAAAGCAAAAGATCTTACATTTAAGCTAGTTTTCAGTCCCCTTTTTTCACTGACACTGCTTTTTTCTGGATCATCAATGACTAATAACACCATATTTCCAATCTCATTCTCCCTAAGCAATTTATTTCTCTATTTGTACCACTGTTTTTTTCCAGTCTCAGAACCATCTTGAATGACTCCCCAATTTAATCTCTTATCTTGTCAGTTAGTGAGAAACATAATTTCTTCACTCAAAATAGCTCCTGCTTTGCCCTTTCATTTCTGATCTCCCTGTCACCAGCTTAGTCATGCTGTACAGTCTGCCTTGATGCCTACGTGGTCCTCCTGACACGAGTCTGCCCAGTCTATCACTGTCACATCTCTAAATATGCTCTTTGATTGAGTCACCTCCTGATTCAAAAACCTCAATGACTCTTCCTGTCAAAATGTTAAAAATCAAAGATCTTTAATTTTTTTTAACTTTTAAGCCTTTTTTTGGGGGCAGGGAATCTTGGATGTCAGTGTCAAGTAGCATTCAGGTATTAATTACATCTACTATAGACAGTAAAAGCATTTTCTATAATAAAAACAATCAGAAGGTATATATAATCATGCTTTTCTTATATATACAGGAGAACATATAATGATAAATAATTCAGCAAAAGGCAATTTGTATTTAAGATCTAGTTGTACTTCCTAAACCATTTAAAAATGATAAAATTTGCCCTGGCTGGCATAGCTCAGTGGATTGAGCGCAGGCTGTGAACCAAAGCATCGCAGGTTCGATTCCCAGCCAGGGCACATGCCTGGATTGCAGGCCAAGGCCCCCAGCAACCGCACATTGATGTTTCTCCCTCTCTCTCTTTCTCCCCTCCCTTCCCTCTCTAAAAATAAATAAATAAAATTTTTTTAAAAAGAAAAAATTCAGTAGTATTTCAACAATAAGTAAATTTTACTGTATTCTAATTATTGGAAAACTGGCTGACCCATGAAAATATACTGGCTACTTAGATACCCAGAATATTTAATAAATCAAATTCCTGATTAACTTGAGAAAAATTAGATTTTGCTGTAGAACCTATGTAGTTAAAATTTTCTTTAACAATTCCCACATAGTTTTGGGATGATATAGCCATATAAATTCTTGATTTAATTCAGAGCTGGCAATCACTCTGCTTTTTACTATACTCAGCTTTACATTTTGTTCAACCAAAAGAAAAAAGTTTTCTTCAAAACTATCTATGTCACTAGACAAGTCTAAATTCCAATAAAAATAAACAATATCTGCTTTAACAAGTGAGATATAATGTGAAAAAGAAAAACAAACTGTGGGGCATCCATGCCACGGAATACTATTCAGCAATAAAAAAGGAACTATTGATATATACAAAAACTTGGATAGATCTCAAGGGTGTTATGCTGAGAGAAAATGGCCAATGTGAAAGAAGCTATACTGAATTGATTCATTTATATTACATATGGAAAAAGGCAAAACAATAGCAACAGAAAACAGATCACTAGTTACCAGGGACTGGGAATATAAAGAGGTTGTGACTATAAACCAGCAGGAGGGAGTTTTGGGAGTAATGAAACTGTTTTGTATCTCAATTGTGGTGTTGGTTACATAAATCTATACATATGTTGAAACTCATGAAACTGTTAACATCTAAAAAGTCAATTTTATTCCATCAACTTAAAGAATAAAATTTTAAAACTTACAAATGAATTATAGGTTATATAACATTTGGAAAATACTATTACACTAAAAATTTCCTTCTGACATTATTTTATCATAGTGTTTGACATAAAAGACCCAGGCCAGGGAAAAATGGTTTCCAGAATTCCATTCAGAAGCTCTTTATTAAATACCTACTAAGTTTGGGGCTGTGTGCACTAATGCATTTAACTACTTTTGAAAAGACTCCTTCACCCTGCTGATTGGCAAAGCTCAGAGGCTACAAACAGAGTTCTGTCTGAAAAAGTATTTATGACGTAGAGTGAGCAGATTGGTGCATGCAGTAGGAAACCAATCACTGCCCTGTGGTCTCCGGAAGACTTACTGGAAGGACAAGCCCCACCATACTTATCATTGCCATTTCTATTAGCTTCAGATCTAATTTTTCTCTAACAATTTAATGTTGTCCTTAAGACAGAGAAAAATAAAAACCTTGATTAGATGGTAATATGTCAATTGTTCCAGTTTGCAAAACAATCCAGCCTCCCTACAATGTTACTGGTTCTACATTTTAAACCAGAGTAAATTTTATCTGGTTTAAAACTCTACTCTCCGATTAAATGACCAAAAGAAAACAAATGTAAGGAAGAAAACCATATCAGCACTGAAACTGGGAGACAGTGCCAACCACATAGCAGATAACATTCAATGTTAAAAAATAAAAAAGTACTAGAGAACACTGTGTTCCATATCAAACCAAAGCCTGAAACAGTAAAGAAAAAGACAGATTTGTCTACATAAAATTAAGTGTTTCTTATGATGTATCAAATCAGAATATTCACAAAAAGTACTTACAATATATCCAGTGATATGCTATATCAAGGCCAACTAAAGAGGGCAAAGTAACCCACAAACACACTATCAAATTTGTTTAAAACTGCTCAATTTTAAAATACTGATATATGGTGATATGAGGTAGAAACTTTTGAAAAGCAGTGGCACATTGCACAAAACAATGTTTTGATGGTTTCATAATTTTGTAATTTTTAAAATTTTGTATGCAGAACATGGTAAATCAGCTG